TCTAAAATAAACATATAAATTCATTATTACATAAAAATATATATAATATGCAGACATTTATGCGGTGAAGCGTAATGGCGCGGATTCATTTGCAATAAATTTTCATCGTTCAACTTGCGTATGCTTCTCGGCCCGTTTTGCGTATTATATGTATCGTTGCATTTCTGCGTTCAAGGCAGAAGGAAAAAAAGTATCGTGCGACTTGAACTTGGCACATCTACGCTCTATGTCCTATTATACGACGAAATTTATGTCCCTCCGTGAGCGAGGTACTTGCGCATATAGTATATACGTGCACTGCGTGCGTGTATCTCTCGGTACGAAACTCTATTGTCTCAAACGTTGCGGTTGGTGCACGACGTAGGGCGAAATATTATTTTCCCTCTTTTTTTTCAACTCGTCCCAGAACGTTTATTATAATAATGCAGGCTCGAGCAAAGACATGTATGAGAGAGAGAGCAAGCGAGCGATGATGCGTCTACGGAAGCGCTAAGAAATAAAAACACACCGAGTCGGATGGGCAGAAAATGGCCGTGTATGTATATAAGTATTTTTTTTTCTCTCTCTCTCCCTCTCCTTGTCCTCTCGCTCTCGCAAAAATGATAAATGAGCGCGAAACAGCAGCAACAGCAGTGGTGGCGGCGGTAGTAGCAGCTGTTGACGGAAATTTGTACGAAAGATAAATCCACAACGACCGCAGAGATTTTCGACTCTAACAGTTTCGAAGAAGAGCCACATTTTACAGGTGCTATGCATAATGCAAAACGACAGTCGGCAGTATAAGCGACGTTACGCGGGGTGTAATAGCGTCTTTTGTTTCTAAAATCGTAGACTTTTTCGTATATACGTCAGCAATTTTCGCTTGTTGTTTAGCTTTTTTCTTTCATTGCTCCTTACACTCACGGCAAATGCAATATTTATTTACGCGCCGCAGCGTTTTAGTAAAAGCAATTCGCTCTCTGCTGCAGTATTAATGCGCTTTCGAATCACCGAGTGCGCAAAGTGGCTTTTAAGGTTCAGATGAAGAAATGTGAGGGTAAGGAGACCGAGAGAGATAGAGAGAATGTTAAGAAGTAGAAATTGCTGTTTTTTTGACTTTTATTTGCACGCTACATGCACATAGTTTCTTCGGGGCTTTTTTCTGGCGCGCAAGCCTCTATATCGCATGTCATATAACACGTTATAAAAAATAATAAAATAAAAAAGCTCTCGAGAGTTCAGTGCTCGCCACGGGTTAAATCACTAGCAACAACGGGTCGTTTGTTCCTTTTTCTGCCCAAGGTTACATGCACGCACACACACACACACACACACACACACACACACACACACACACACACACACATATAAACACACAGGCACTGGTAGCGGGGAATGCGGCGCAGCTCGCTCGCGCGAGAAAAATATAAGAAAACAGAAGCTCTCTCGCGGGCTTAAGCCCATTGTAAAACTTTTTATGGCTTTCCCGTGATGATATTTGCATGGAGGATTTCTGAGCAAGCAAAGACCTCGAGATATGTTTTGCGAATTGCTTCTTGACATTCTTGGCAAACGACAAGAGATAGCTAAATTCGTTAGCTACTTTACGACTCGAGCTCGAGTGAAAAGCCTTTTACACCGTCGATTGATTAAATCGAGCTTGAACGCGTTTATAACCCTTGATCGATTTTATGTATATTTCTCCGTGGCGACGATCTGTTCCTTTGTTGTGTTAGAGAAAAAAACACCGAATGGCAATATTATCCTCGATGAATTCCATTTGAATGGGGGTTTTATGTCTTTCAACTTTGAAGATATCGATCATACATTTAATTGATTTTCACAGTAATGTCTTTCAAAGTCTTGTGAGAAAACACCAGAGCTTGACGGTCGGTACGATTTTGATCCTCGATTCGATTACTCACCGTTAGAAAAGTGTGATTACAAAAGTGCGATTAAAAGTATAGTTTAAATGAATTTCAATTTTTGTGCTGGCTTTTCACTTCGAAAAATTATCAAGAGGTGCGGTAGCACCTAGCCGGCAAAGTATAAAAAAAAAATTATAAAAAATAATTTAAAAAAAAATTTATTTAAAAAGAAAAAATTCGTTAGAATTTGAAAAAAAAAATTTTGAAAAAAAAATTTTGATATTGAAAAAACAATTTTCAAAAAATTGAAAAAACAATTTTCAAAAATTTTCAAAAAAAATGTTTGCGCAAAAAATTATTTTATGTGTTAATTCTTTGAAATTAGCCTTAATTAGCTAAAAATTGTCGGCTGGGTGCAGCGCACCTATATATACACCGAAAACGCCAAATCAAAAAAAGCTAGTTCGAGATGGGGTACTTCCCGTACTCAGAGAGATACAAGATAGGTATCATTCGATAGGGGATCCAAAATCATAAATTCATGCAAATTTTTGGATGATTTGGTGCATTGGTTCAAAAAATTGGACCATCCAAAGTTTTTTTACCGTCAAATCACGTTTTTTCTAAATTTTATATCAAACATGAGTCAACCACGAGATCTCGCGGAATACTTAACCGATCGAAATTCTGAAGCAAGATTTCGATAGGTATACAGCTCTACTCCAATAGTTCACTCTTAGAATTTTCGATTTCCCGGAGAATGCATTCTCTAATTCGATAATTCACTGAAGTGTCGTTTTAAGTTAGGTTTCAAATTTGGCATACGCATGAGAAATTGTGCACTTGTGTCAACCACGAGATCTGCACAATTTCTCATGCGTATGCAAAAATATCGCGAAATAGCACACGAGTTACAAATCGATAAAGAGCTCTAAATTTTCTGAAAATTGAAAATTCTGATGATAATATATTCGCAAAATATATTTTGTTTAGTATGATGTTATAAATTTAATATAGTGAAAAAATACTTAGTTCAAGAAGGGGGTCTTGTTCGATGGTTTTCGAGCTGGATTTTAATAATATTTTTTGAGCGCATAGTAAAATTAATTTACCTATAAATTATATACATTATAAATAATTATTTGAAGAACATTCAGTTAAATTTTCAGCTAAAAATAGTGAAAAATAAGCTAACTACAGCAAATTGAACAATTGAAAAAAAAAAGATCGATTGCGGTTGACACTGTATCTAAAAATCTACTGGACTGATTCTTTCCAAATTTTTCTCACAATTTATCTACATAAATTATGAGGTTATGACGTCGAGATATCTCGTTTAAAATGATTTTTGAGATTTTGGCATCATTTTGATGGGAAAAAATGACTTTTTTGAAAAGATGAAGGCAAAAATTCATCATACATGTTGGTAAAAAGCATTTAAAAATGCAAAAAGTTAAATCATCTCGACGTCATTACCTCATATATTATCTACTTAAATAGTGTATAAAATATGAAGTGGATCGGTCGAGCAGATTTTGGTGTCCACCGGATTTTTTTTACGTTGCATGTGGAAATTTACTGTAGCCAGATTATTTTTCAGTATTAGGGCTAAAAATTTAACAGAATTTTCTTCAAATAACTTTTAATTATGTGTATGATCAATAGATCAATTCTATTTACTATATGTTAAAAAAAAAGTTTTTTTTTAATTCAGTCAAGACCCCCCTGTCCCCCCTTAATCAATAACATATTTTTCCCATGTGCTTCATATTAATTATTTACCCAGTGTGTACAGTGCTCTCAAAAGTAACACCCGCCCAAAGCGCGCGATTCAAATAATGTTATTTTTATCATGGGAAAATCGAGACGCCTTTAATCAATAGATGGAATAACTAAATAAAATTATAATTACTAAAATTATAACTAGATAAAATTATTTATCACTTTTTTGGCATAGGGTACACAGCGTGTCCTCTGCACATGTCTAATGCACCGAATCTACACGGAGAGAAAATAAACACTTTTGAGGGAGGACCTGTATTAAGGAGGCTCTTTCGATATTGATAAAAACTCTACATCCTCATATAAGTTATATCGATCAATTCGTTGGAGCCTCACAATTATGTAGAAAGAAAAAAAATGGGGGTAGCTGAACTCGTTTCCGAGAAAAATGCTGTCGAAAATTGCAATTTTAACATGGACTTGTATAGGAAATGATCTTGTTTCGTTAATAACTTTTGGAAAAAATTCTACATCCTCAAAAAATTTATATCAATAGATTCGTTAGAGTTTCACGAATCGTTTCCTGTAAAAAAATAGGGGTAGCTGACCATTCTAAGAAGATAATCCGCTTTATATGGTCAATTTTGTGGTGCGACTCGAACCAGCCAGCAGCAATGCAGTGCGCACGAAAGCGCGCCAAATTCAAATGCGCTTAAAAACAAATAGTATAAATTCTGTAAAAAAAGTCTTTTATTAAAAAAAATATTAACACTAACATTCTTTGAATAAATTTGTCAATAAATATTTAACAATTATATAATAAAAAAATTCTTATAGTTTAAAAAAAGTGTAAACAATATAAAATGACATATAACAATATAAAATGATCGTTCATAATTATCAATATAATTATAATAAAAATATTCGCAAATATCGAATTTTATCGTAGCTACACGTGAGCCGTTGATGTAAATAAAAGCTGACGACAAGTCTGTTACTCTGCTCGCGACTAGTGGCATAGCACATGCGCAGTACGTTACGCGCTGCACCATGCATTAGCGCTCCGCGCGCTTAATGTAAAAAACATTGCAGCGAAAGAGCCTCCTTAAGTGAGAATCGCCGGCACGCTTGTCTGGCTCAACCGCTGGCTGGGACTTGAGTCGAACTACGGCCGCGCAGTAAGTATAAGTGAGCGATGCTCAGTGCCCACTTTCTAACGGCCTAACTTTCACTTTTATTCTTAAGAAGGCATCAAGCTCCAATATCTAATAGCAGCTAAGCAGTTCAACTCCACATGTCAAGTCGTTCAGATCACGTTACGAATTCACAACCTAAAAGAGGTCTCATCGACACGTGCTTTTAAATTAGTGAAAAAAAATTGAAATTTGTAATTTTTAGTGTTTTTTTTTGTGTTCGTGAGTGCGTATAAACATGTCCGAAAACGAATCCAGTGTGAGCTATAATAATAAAAAACAATTAGAAGTGTACGGATACTTGTCGAAAGATGTGACGTGGGAGATTCAAGAGGATCGACGTGAATTTCTTTATCAACTCGATACCGTGGTCAAAAATTGGAAAGGTCAACTTCCAAATCTTCTAGACTTCTTCCAAAAAGAAGCGATTTTTTGGCTTTTGATAGAGTCCGTCATAGACACAGACGAACACGACATCGAGACACCGGGAAAACGATTCATAGATTTTGTGGCTCGCAGCGGCTACAAAGACGACCCCTACGCAGATAAAGACGGCGAGCCACTGTTGCGTCGCACCACGCCGGTGCATCACGCGGCTAAGCACGTTACCAATTACGTCATAATCTCTGATCTCTTTAAAATCTACGACAAATTCGACGTAGCTTACATAGACGAAGATGGATTAACGCATTTTCAAGTGGCCTGCTTGTATGGTCTCGACACCGTCGTCGAAAAATTCCTCGAACTCGGGCAAGATCCCAACGGCCTCTCTCGAGGCACGGCAGCGAGATACCCGCCGCTTTACTTGGCTCTACTCAACGGCCATGGGACGGTAGCCGAATCGCTGCTGAGAAGAGGCGCCGATCTGCTTCGAGCCAGTGCGGACGGAGTAACTCCTGTGCACATGCTTGGCAAAAGAAATCACAATGATGCCTTCCTTGAGACATTTTTCGAGATTGTCGAGGAGAAATATCTGACGTTGCAGGTCAACGCCATAGACCATGATGGCCTTTTACCGTTACATTATGCTCTGAGGGGCAGAAACAAGAAACTGATGGAACTGCTGTTGAGACACGGCGCGAATCCGAATTTGTGCAACGAACACGGAGATACTGCGGTACACTTCGTATGCGACGACGACGACGACGACGACGACGACGAGGACGACGGCGAGGACGATGGCGAGTACAAGTTCTTGGAGAAATTTTTCGCCATCAACGACGAACTCGGTAACACGATCCAGGTCAACGTTAAAAACGTACAGGGCGACACACCATTGATCTTGGCTATGAAGAGTGGCAACACAAATGCAGTCGAACAGTTGCTGAGAAGGGGTGCCGACCCTCATTTAGTCAACGACGACGGAGAGACTTGTTTGCATATTATTTGCAAGAGCGACTGGAACGACGAAAACATGGCAAAGATGTTATTTGAGGTCTGCGACGAGAAACATCAGACGGTCCAGGTCGACGCACGGGACAATGAGGGTTGGACACCATTACTCGCTGCAATATACCAAGGAAACATCAATTTGGTAGAATGTTTGCTAAGAAGAGGCGCTAGTCCGCATTTAGCTGATTATAACGAACTTACTCCTTTGCACGCAATATGCGAGAGAAAAAACAGCGACGATGGCTTGGCGAAGAGATTTTTCGAGATCACCGACGAATTGAATCAGCCCGTGGAGATCGACGCCAAGAACGACGAGGGCTCGACGCCGCTACACTTGGCTCTGTCCCACGGATGCAAAAAACTGAACGAACTGCTGTTGAGAAGACAGGCCGATCCAAATTCGGCTGCCGAGAACGGATTCACTCCTCTGCACGTCGTGTGTCTGAGAGAAGACGACGACGTTGACTTGGTGAAGATGTTGTTCGAGATGGGTGACAAATTCAATAAGCCGATCCAGATCGACGCCCGTGACAGCGAGGACAATACACCGTTGCACTTTGCTTTGGATTGCGGCCACGAACAAATAGCCAAATGGCTGCTGAGAAGAGGAGCGGATCTTAATTTAGCCAACGCACGGGGATGGACACCGTTGCACTTTATTAGCGCTCAAAAGAAGGACTACGCCGACTTGTTGCAGACGTTTTTGGAGATCAGCGACGAGCAAACGCGGCCGATCCAGATCGACGCCCGAGACAGCGACGACAACACACCGTTGCACTTTGCTTTGAATGGCGGCCACGAACAAAAGGCCGAATGGTTGCTGAGAAGAGGAGCAGATATAAATTTAGCCAACGCGTGGGGATCGACACCGTTGCACTCGATCAGCGCGGGAAATAAGGACCATGCCGACTTGTTGGGGACGTTTTTCGAGATCAGCGACGAGCTGAATCGAACGGTCGAGGTCGACGCCAGGAACAAGCGGGGTGAAACGCCGCTCCACCATGCTATAAGACACGGACACAAGAAGGTATTTGAATTACTGCTCAGAAGAGACGCCAATCCGAATCTGGCCGATAACGATGGATGGACGGCTCTGCACACGATTTGCATAGTCGCCGACGATAGCGGCTGGGCGAAGATGTTGTTTGAAATCAGCGAGGAAAATAATCGACAGGTGCAGATCGATGTTCAGTGCACGCACAACTGCACACCACTACACCTTGCTCTGATCAAAGTAGAGCTCAGGGAGGTGGCGGAATTGCTTCTGAGAAAGGGCGCCGCTACGAATTTAGTCGATTGGAAGGGGTCGACTCCTCTGCACACAGTTTGCAGGTCCGACGATGACGATCAGGACCTCGCGAGGATGTTGATCGACATCAGCAACGAGGAAAATAATCCGGTCGAAGTCGACGCCCGGGATAAATTGGGCCGGACGCCGCTACACCTGGCCCTGGCCGAAAGAAACTGTAGGGTGGTCGAGTATCTGCTGAAATTAGGCGCCGATCCCAACTTGACGGACAAGAACGGATTCTCGCCGTTACACGTCATCAGCAAGGATCTTTACGACGACGCTGAATTGCTCGAGCTGTTTTTCGACGCCAGCAAAGAGGCCGATCGACCGGTGCGGGTCGATGTCCAAGACAAGAAGGGACGAACGCCTTTGCAATTGGCCGTGGCGAATCTTTCCCTCGATAAGGTCGATGTACTCCTGGATCGGGGCGCTGATCTGTCCAACTTCGTTTTTTCCAGCAAGAGCTTTTTCGTCGAGAGATTTCGATGGGTACGTGCGATGGACGAAAAATTATCACTGGCGTCGAAAATTGTGGCCGTCGTTGAGCGTCTCGAGAAAAGAGGATACGAATTAGACCGCAGCGACGCCCTGAATATCATGAGTTTGTTCGCCGAGTACGGATTGTTCGAGAAGTCAGTGGATCTCGACGAATATTGGTACGACGACGAAGAATTTGTGAGCAAATCGAAAGAGATAATGGTGATTCCTAGTCTGTCGCTTCACGACCTTATCCGATTGAGACCGGAAGAGGCGGCGAAACAACTGAAACACGAGAACTATATCGAGTTGGCGCGTTCAAACAAATTGTCGGACCTTCCCGAAGGCCACACGGAGCTTTGCGTTCGGCATCTGTGCGAAAAACTGTCCAGAGGATTTTTCTGGCCATGGGCACTGGATGCTTTTTACGAACTGAAACACTGCCAGCTACCGGTTCTCTGCTGTGAAATGATCATTGCGGAGCTGAAGAACGAGGATTTATATAATATTTGCTTGGCATGCATACTTGCATAGGCGATAGATCGCGGCGGTAGCCCACGGTGACTTTTTTGTTATCGTAACTATGTAGATAACGAAAAATTATAAACGCTATCGAAAAATTGTAAATAATTGTAAAATTGTAACGAATTTCTTGAAATCAAAACCTTATAATAACATCGATTCATAAGTTTAGAAACAATAACAGTAATTTAACTCGTATGAATCTCCAAAGTCTCTTTGTTGGACAGTGAATATAACAACTATCCATGTAAATAAAAACCAAATTGTAATAATTGTTATAAGTTTCCTCAACTCCTCGTGTAATTTTCTGTACATAGTTAATATCAATAAAATGTAATGAATGAATAAAAAAATGAATTATGATTTTTTCATTGATTAATTCACAATTCTCGAATTGAAATCTTACATCATATAGCTATTGAATAACAAAAACTTATAAATAAGTTTGGATTCCGGCAAAGTATTGTATTGTTTTCATGAATCAATGTGACCGATTCATTGTAAAGCTTTACGATTCGATTATAATAAGTATTAAAACATCAAAATAATCGTCAAAGATGAACTTACAATTATTAGCTACAGGTACAACAATTACGAAGATAATTCATTAAAATATTAAAATATCGAAATAATCGTCAAAGATTCATTGCGTGCATATTGTTTACCCATTAACCATGAAACAATTCTTAGTCAATGGTTAATCTTCTATTACTATAATAATACTTTCGTACATGTGCATTCAGACTTTCAGTACGAAATATCACTTTGCGTGCCCAGAGCTTTTTGGCTACCAAGTGTTGTCACGACATCTATTTAAATCAAATCTATCATATCATATCTAGCTATTCTATAGAATTATAAAAATTTTTTTTTCTACTTCATAAATAAAATAAAACATTTTTTTTTATTTCAAATTTTGATAATATTTGATAAAAGTTACATGAATCGTTTGAAAATGTATATTTTCGAGTATTTTAGAAATTCAGATTTTGCTCATAATTTTATATGACTGATAACTGTGACATTTACTCAAATTTAACAATAACCTTGGATACATTCGCTGCATAAAATATAATTTATTTCAAATTTGGATAATATTTGATAAAAATTACATGAATCGTTTGAAAATTTATATTTTCTAGTATTGTAGAAATTTAGATTTTACTCATAATTTTATATGACTGATAACTGTGATATTTACTCATATTTAACAATAACCTTTGATTAGTTCGCTGCAAAATTTTCATAATGGTTTTATTATTAATGCTAGTATAGGTCCAATGTAAGAATATAGATTGAAAAACTTTTATTCTAGACATTGTGAGCCATTATATTTTTTTTATATATTAGCAATGATTTTACGAAGATGACATATGTCGTTGACCGTGTGAATGTGTGTAATGTAATAAATTAAAAGTGTAGTGCCACGAGCCCTCAGACTCGGCGAGTAATTATTTTCGCGCTGGCATTAGGTATAATACTGCATTTCAGTAGGAAATTGAGAAAATTCCCGTAGCATATAAGTCGTCCGGTAATATATATTAGACATATATACGTGGCTCAGTTCTCGGTGCTAACAACAAATGTAGTATTCATCAACCGCAAAATATCTTTTCTTTATTTCTTTCTATGTCTTAGACTGTAGGTAGCTCTTTCTTATACTCATAAAACATACAAAACTCATCAGGCAGTAGTGCTGCTGGCGTTGCTGCACTCGAGCACGGTGCATTTTTCAAGCTACTTTTTTCGCTCTTTTTTTATTCCACATCAAAGACGCTCGTGCTGTGCCTTCAGCGGCACGAAGTAAGCAGCGGCAGAAGAAGAAGTATTTAATAAAAGGCTCGAGCCGAAGAATAATTCATGCGACAGGGCATATCCATTGCGTTGCGTCTGAAGTGTACAATACATATACATGAAACCTTCTGTCATTCTCTTACTCTTTTCTCTTACTCTCATTTCCAGAGCATATAAGTATATACATATAACAGTAGCACTTTTAAAGCATGTGCGCGAAAATACAGGCGTGTGTATGTGTATATAGCAGTGCAGCGCGGCACTTGTACACTGCTGCCGCTATCTCTTCAATCTCTCCTCTCTCTCTTTCCTCCTTGTCGTGAATCGTCTTCATTTATTATTATCTCGCGCCTCGCTGTCTGGTTTGCATAATATATCAAGCAAAAGCGGCAACAGTAGCATCGCAAGCTCGCGCTCTTTCTCCTCTCTCTTACTCTCTCACTCGATCTATGCCGTGCTTGCGTGGCTGTTACTGCCGCTACTTCTGTTACTGCTAGTGGCGGTGGTGGTGCACTTGGCGAACACCCCAATCGAAACCCCCAGAAACGCGACAGTAGCAGCAGCAGCAGCGGCAGCTGCTGATGTACAGCCGCAGAGCATACTTGTATACTCGTTTGCTGCAGAGGAGAGACGGAGGAAAAGGGAGAAATTTCCTCCATCGTTGTCATCGGCGGCGTTGGCGGCAGCTTCGTCGTCGTCGTCGTCGTCGTCGTCGTCGACGAACTTTCCGTTGACTCAAAGTTTGCATATATACAGACACATACAAGAGAACGTGTACACAGACGGGACCGATACAAATACGAGCGCGCACATTCTCACACTCCGGCACGGTAACGCATCATCGCAAAATTGTGGGCTGGGGTAAGGCAAAAAGTAATGAGTAAACATGTCTTATTATACACGTATGTGTGTGTTTGCGCGAGTTGGTGGTGCCTCTACGCGCCGTAGCACGCGCTTGTATACTTTAGTCTCGAAAGTTTGCAGTGCCGCGCCGCGGCAGCTTCGATTTGTGAAGGAGATGTGCTTCGGGCTGAAGGTACATACACACGTACACACAAATGTATGTGTCTCTGCTCTGTACGTGTGTTTCTATCTCGTTAAATTCGCGTGTACCGCAAAGTTTACATTTGGCGCCGCTCAGTCGAAATGTGTCCCACGGTGCCGATGGACGAGCTCGCAGTAGCATCAGCCAGCAGCGATAAACACGTCGCTTGCATTTGGGAATAATTTGCAAAGGCGCATGCAGGCGATATAGCTCACATATGTATCTCTTTCTGCCATTGCTTCTATCCTCCTTCGAGCGCGTCTGTATATATGTGTATGTGTGTGTGTCTGTGTTGACGAAATTCGCGCATGCATATCTTCTTCAACTCGCAGGAAGTTCCAGTATATTCCTACGAATTTACGACCATACTTCGATGCAAAAGAAAAGTTTCGTAGCTCGAGCGCAAAATTTGCCACGGAAAACTTGCACCACGCGCTGCCACTGCCGGTTGGGACAGGGAAAAAAATCTTGTTAGTATAAGAGAATGCAGTGTATAAGTTCACATACGCGAACGTACAGCGCGTGTGCGCGTCAGGATGTGCGCGCAAAAAGAACGGCGCGGCGCGTGCGTCCCGGTTCGCGCGCGATAGCTCGCTTGAAATATGTTACTCGCGTGATGAAGTGCGCCGCGCAATAGAATGAGAGACTCGAGAAGTTTTGAAAATGAGCTTTTTATTTTTATAATAGCCCCGCGTGGCGCGCACCACACACCGGTACCCGATAGTACACAGAGATACATTGAGAATTATTTGTTGCGGGTTGGATTTATTATCCTCGCGCTTGTCGAAACGATGAATTGCCTATTGCTGCGCGGGAAAAATGGCAAAATCGCGAGAGAGCTTGGAGAAGAGGAAATTATTTTTCAAAAGTTGTTTATTGCGAATTTCCAAGAGTCGCGGTTGAAATATATCATATTGGTATTTTTAGCCTGGCAAACATGTATTTTTTCGCCGCGCGGATAAACGCTCGAGCGGTCGAAGAAAAATGATTAGTTTTATTTTCAGCTTGTTTCCCTTTCTTTTAACCGCGCGGCTTACCGCGTGATTCGTGAAACTTTTTCGATGAAAATACCAGACAAATTATAACACATTTGATGGTAAATATTGAGCCTGTTTTCCACGAACGATCTGCGATATCTCTGACAAAAAGATCTGCTGCAGGAAAATATTTCATACGCGCTGAGAAAAATTTAGTAAATATAACCACTGATCTCGGTATGTCGACATTAAAGTTTGAAAAAATGAGGTGTATGACTTTGCAAAAGGATATCGTCGTGAATGTCAGTCAGATATATGTTAACATTTGTGAGCTTGTTTCATTGGGGCAGTAACTTTTTGAGTAGTATAATTAATTAGCAAAGTACGCTGCGAACGCATATTATCCGTATAATAAAAAACCGGAACCGTAATTATTAATATATTTTGCTCAAGCTTAACGTCTGTTCATGATGACATAGTCGACGGGTATTTATCACCACTGGTCTGGAAGAAAGTCCATTTACTATTCCGAGAAAAGACAACCTGTTTGTTTTTTTTTCCTCTCTTTTTCGTTCAAATACGCACAAAAGTCCGCGACTTTTTCGCTTGGCGTTTACGCGCAAATGTACCTAAAAAAGAGTTTAGTTCAAAGAAAAGCAGTATAAGAGCTTGGGCAAAGCGAAATAAAAACTATATACTCTGTTCGACCCTCGAAAATGAAACGTGCTCGAAACTGTCAATTTCACACCTCTGTCTTTATATCCTCTCCTCTGCGGTTTCAGCACATTTTACTCCCATTCTTTTCGAATCTCCTTTTTTTTTCTTTCCTCGTTTTAGGAAGTGTCACCTCCTCGGAAAATAAATCTTCTGTGAAAGTACGCGGGATACAAAGAGTTCTCTTATTTGCGCCAAACGTGTGCAACCACCCAACCAGCACCATACCCCCACAGAGAGACATCAACAAACAAAGCGGGTAATTTTATAAGGAAATTAAACGGCATATTGTTTGAATTTATAAAAGATTGATTTACGAGGACTCGCGGGAGCAGGAGAGAGTCACAGCAATGCGATACTGATACAAGATATCAGGGCAATGAAAAAGCTCCACCGCGGTGAAAGACCGGCGATGAAAGAAGTCGCCCAGTCATCAGTTACACCGAAGCCTCGCGAGCGGGTAACTCGAAGAAAAAGTTGCA